GTACTCCATAAATGGTAGGTGTGGTTGTACTGCCACCGTGCTACCCTCACGCAGTGTAGAAAATAGTGAATAATGAGTAAATTTTAATGGGGTAAATGGATCGGAAGCAGATGACAAGAATAGGCAAATGATAAGATAATGAAAGACTGGAAGTTAGTATAAGAACATGCCAAATATTCTAGGGATTAGATAAGCATGTACGATGCCAGGAGAAGGAAAAGAGAGCTGAAGAGATGAAGTGGAGCAGATGGTGAAAGAAGAGACATTTGTGAGGTGGTCATCTCACTGCTGGCTTGTGGCGTAGACAATGTCTTTAATTTACCCGTTGTGACTGTGGACATCGAAGATGTGGTGATCACTGTTGAATGGGCCGTTGCTGGATTTGATTTACCTGTTGTAGCCATGGTCATCTCTCTTGTGGTGGTCGCTATTGGAGGGGCTGATTCTGGTTTTTGTTTACCTGCCGTGTCTGCAGGTGTTTCCCTTCTGTTGGTCATCATTGGAGGAGCTGCTATTGTTCTATCTAAACCTGTTTTAGACGTGTACTTTATTGCAGTATTGGCAGCTCTTGTAATCGCTTTAATTATACGAGGTCCCCGTCGTAAGATCGATCTACAAGCATCGGCAAACACAAGGGAAGTAATTAACAACACGAGACTAACATTGAAGAATTTCATGACGCGACTGAGTTCTGCTTGCTCCAATCTCATATCTGACAATTTATGTACCAACAGTGGATGCGTGAGTGTTGCTTCTGCCACTCAGCTAACAGCAGCTCCTCCCAGTCGACTTCTTTTCGCTTGCATCAGCTGCATGCAATGCCCCATCTTCGCCTATTTCCATGCACTACATGCTACTGCAACATCATCTTCTTGTGTAGATTATGGTGTCATTAGAGATGTGGCTTGCACTGTGGTGTGAGAAGTAGTGAAATTTCAACAGCAGACATAGGAGAAACACTGACTTCTCCTATTAAGCATTAGAATGAACTAATTGTTCTACGACCAAACTCAAACTGTCAGCATGGTTTGCTCAATCTGGAAATGTAAAATTGTCACTTGGGAGGCACGGCATGTTAAATTGTGTGCGATTAGCACTGAAGTAGAAGTTAAGGTGCAGAGCATTAACTCGTGTACAAAGTAGTGAAATGGTGGAGTTAGTTGAGATATTGTTCGTTACTCATTATTTTTCACTGTCTGAGTAA